ACATTTTCTTTACTTTTCAAACCAACTGTCTATCCATTTACTTGCAATCATTCCGTTCAGAAGCTTTTATTTTTAGGTTTAGGAAAGAAGAAATTTTTCATGATAACTGTTGATCCGATATTTGATTATTACTGCTGCTTTTTTGTTGTGGTTGTCGTTGTTGTTGGTAACTTTGATACTACTGCAGTTCCTGTTACCGATACAGGTTACTGCTTTTGCTGAATAATTTCTGTTGTTGTTGCTGCTACTGCTGTTGCTGTTGCTGTTGTTATTATTATTGTCGTTGGTATTGCTGTTGCTGCTTCTGCTGATGCCGGTGCTGCTGCTGTTTTCCATTGTTTGTTATTTGCTGATGCTATTTTGCTGTTGTTTGCAAAAATTTTCTAAAAAAAAATCATTCAATTTGAATTGTTGTTTGGATAGAAGAAATAGGGTTGGTATAAACGGCAGCAAAAATGAAAAAAAATTGAGAAAAACTATTCATATATACATATATATATATTTATTTATTTGTATATTTATAATGAACAACGAACGATAAGGACAACAGTGGACCAAATTTCGCTTCTTTTTTTTTCTTTGATAATGCTAGCGGTATTTTATTTGGCAGTGGACTGAATGATGGCTTTATATGGGCAGTTGGTTATTTTTTCGTTGTTTTTTTTGTTGTTGTTGTTGGGAAGTATTAACAATTGTGTCCGCTAGGCTTTCAGGTGTAAAGGCAATAGTGAGAAAACTGTTAGTGGTGAATCTGTTGATTGTAGTAACCATATGGACAATTTACGGCAAGAATTCTGAAATCCCGCTAGCTTTTTTACATCATGGGCTAAGGAAAGATTATATCAACAAAAAAAAGTGTACAGGATTGAACAACGGAAATTTTGTTGGTTGCTCGGGAGCCCCCGGTCGATCCCTTCAAATCGGCTTGTGCTCTTCTCCCCCAACGTTGTTCCTTTAGTTCTGATCCCTCTAATTATTATGGTTGTTGTTGTTGCTGTTGTTGTTGCTGCTGCTGTTGACGATGTTGTTGTTGTTGTTGTTTTGGTTGTTGTTGTTGTTGTTGTTATTTTGAAACTTGTTATCGTTTTAGATGTATATACTTGTTTCGCTTCTTCATTATTATCTATAATGCAAAAATTTTTGGATAAATTTGATTTCTAAGTAGAAAAAAGAAGAAGAAGAAGAAGAAGAAAAAGCAGTAGTTGACGGTGGTGAAAAAGAAGGGGAAGAAGCAATTTTTTTTTGGATTTGTTTTTTTTAATACTAAAAAATCTGTTTTTTAGTTTACTGAAAGATATTTCGTGTGTTTTTTTTTTTGGTGCAGTTTTTTTACAGCTGTGAAAAAATGAGAAAAAATGAAGCA